GGCCTCAAACCTCCTCAGCAGGGCTGCTCCCTCCTCCAGGCAGTGGCAGTAGTGCTGGTGCTCTCCAGGCCAAAAGAAGGTTGCAGGCAAGGTCGGAGTGGTTTCCCACAGCTTGGCCCAACCTCTCCTTCAGGTGGGGCAGTTGCCCTGTGTCCTCCTGGTGAGAGAGGGTGGTCGGCAAGGCTGGAACGAGGTTCTGTGGCTCGGCCCATCTCACTCTTTCTGGCAGGCAACATGGTGTGGCCCCCAGAGGAGAGAGAGAGCAGACCGCCAGGCTGAAAGGGGTCCTGCAGCTCACCCCAACTCACTTTTCCTGGCAGGCAGCTGAGGCGAGGCCCCCAGGCAAGAGAGAGAGAGAGAGAGAGAGAGAGAGAGAGAGAGAGAGCAGTCTGAGTCCCGCAGCTCGGCCCAACTCCAGCTTTTTTTTTTTTTTGAGTCAAGGTCTCACTATATAGTTCAGGGTGGCCTTGAACTCATGTGTAGCCTAGGCTGGATTTGAGTCCTCTGTGATCCTCCTGTGTGCTGGGATTACAGGCATGCACTGTATTCCCTTTTAATTATCAATTTACAAAGAAACGACCTGGCCTAAGAGTTGCTTCAAATGGTAACAAAAGACTTTATCTTTTCTGAGTGTCATTGTGAACACATGGATTTTTGTAAATTCAGGGTAATAGAGTCAGTACCATCATTATTTTCTCTAATGTTCAAATTTTCACAATGTTTGCCAAATAGGCACTTATTTGTTTTCTGATGCAACTTTAACTTTAAATCTTTAGTTGATTTCTGGCATAAAGTGTCCCAGACACACACTGTACCTCTTTACCCCCACACTTGGAATCTGTCGCTTCTTTATGGAGAATTGGAAATGTGTATCTGGGCACAATAAGTGCTTATTATTATTGGATAACATATTTCTAGGTTATTCAGCAGATAAAAGATATAGGAAAGTGATAGATACATAGATAAAACTAAAAATTGTGGCATTCATTGGATCTCTTTGTTTCTTTGCTTGTTTGCTGTCATGGGGATTGATCCCAGCGTGTGTTGTAGAGACAAAATATTCAATCCTCAAAATTAAGGAAGGAAAGATTTATTTAGCTCACAGTCTGTGGAGGTTTCAGTCCATGTTTGGCTGGCTCTGAGACAGGTTGGTTAATGGCAGAGGGCAGTAGCTCATGGCAGCAGAAAACAGCAAAAGCAACAAGAATAAAAGAAGAGGGGAGCACATGAGAGGAGACCCTTCCTGTCCCTTATATCGTATGTAGGCTACTCACCAGAGGAGGGGTGTAGCACTCACACTCATAATCCCAGCATTGGCTCATGAATCAATCACAAATTCTAGAAATCTGCCCCCACAACTGCATTAGGCTTTGGGGGGACATCCATCCACAAACTATAACACAGGGCCTTAGCCCGCAGCTCCATCCCAAGCTATTTTTAAATATTTTTTTAATTTGAGACAGGCTGTCACTGAGTTCCTAAATTGCCCAATCTGGGCTCCAAATTTTGGTCCTCCTGCCTCAATTTCCCAGAGTTCTGGGATTAGATGTGCGTGCTGCAATTTATTTTAGATCCTGTGTCTATTTATTTGAGCATATATTTGCATTTCATGTCTCCTATCTGGAAAACCTTTTACCTATTTGCTGCATTATACCTTTTTTTACATTTGCTGCATCTGACCATATTTTTGAAGCATTATCCAAGCAATGATAACACTACCAAAAAATAACAATAAAAGTGCTGGATCATATTAAATTTCCCTTTGTCAGTGAATATGATTGTCTGAAAAAATTTCAAAAGCTTACTTAAAGAAGCTTTCAGGGCTGGGAATTTAGCTCAGTGACCTAAGAGCCAGCCTGGCAGGTATGAGGTCATGAGATTGATCCCCAGTACCACAAAAATAAATAAATACATAAATATATAAATAAATAAAAAGAAGCTTCCACTGGACAAACAAAAAAGGGAAACACTGGGAACATCAATGAAGGCAGCAACTACTGATTTGAACACAACAGATGTGTCTAAATCCATCATAAGGATAGCACTTTGGGAAATTTAAGCAACTGAGTCATTATTTTAAGAAATGATAAAGAAAGGAAAAGCATACAGTCTTTCTGCTCTTTCGTATACAGCTGAATATTTGGTGAGGCAAATTTCTTTCTATAAAAAGATTCCAGCTTAAATTAAAGAAGGAATGATAACACTAGACATTGACAATTCTGTAATTCCTAGTGAATTGATGGATCTAAAAGTAATATCTACCTATCTTTTGCAAATGGAAAGGGACAAAGAGATGGAGGGAGGAGCAGGGAAGAGAGAAAAAGGTAAAGTAAAAAGAATTAAAATGTGTTATGTCCTTCTGCCAACTTCCTAGTAATGAATGTAATCATTTTGTACTGATGTATAATGTACTAATATAATTTTTATATAAAGTACTAATACTAATATAAATTTTATAAAATCTAAAAAATTGAAATAGTTATCAATGTATGCTCCTATCACAAAAAAGCAAAGATATTTAGACACTGCATGCCTGCTGATGAAAGGATACAGCCATCATCCATGAAGTACTGACCTCCAAAATGGAATGTGAGCCAGCCATCAGTAATCCCAGTATTTGGAAGACTATCAGCAGAATCACCATGAATTTGAGGTCCGCCTAGGATACGTAGTGAGTTCAAGGTTAGCCTTAACTACATAGACAAACCCTATCTAAAAACCAAAAAATTACAAAAGATTTAAATTATGTATATTTGCTAGTCACAATGAAGATATAATAGAAATCAATAACAAAACATTCTTGATAGACATATCATGTTGATAGATATTTCAGTGAGAATCAAAGTAGGTACAAATTTCATATAATCTATTAAAATCTCAGCAGGAATTTTTTGCCTGAAATTTCAGTTTATTGAATAAAATATATGGAAGTGTTACAACATTAAAAAAAGGTTAGAGATATACTTCATGTTCAGTGCCCAGACACACACACACACACACACACACACACACACACACTTACTTAACATTTTTTGCCAGCCCCCTTGTTGGTCCACATTCTTGTCAACATTTGACATTAGCATTTATACCTTGGGCAAAAGTTATGGTTATATAGTAGTGGCTCAACGTGTTTTATTTCAGATTTCTCCTGTTATCTATGAGAGAATGTCTTTTATTAAAATTTTTGATACTGACTGTTTGATAGCACTGATTGAGAAATCTTTCCTGTCTGCATAGTTCTGCAGTGAATAAATCATCAAGCAGAGGTTCATTTCTTGGCTTGTTTAGGGGCTGTCTATTCTGTTTAGTGAATCCACTTGTTTCAGGAGGAAAAACTTCTTGCTGGGGTTTTAATTGATTACATGAAATTTGTAGTTACTTTGGTTCCAACTGAGATATTTGTGAACATGGTATGTCCATCAAGAATATTTTGTGATTGATTTATAATTTATTTGCATTGTGATTAAATTTAAATATTTGTACTTCTATAATATTCACTTTTGGAACCAGTATTTTGTCTGTGCTGTTAATTTTTTACCCTTTCAATCTGGGTACCATCCAGTAATGGGTTGAATAATTGAGGCAATGAGAATTGAACCCAGGGCCTTCCAACTGAACTAAAACGCTTGCCCTTTTTTTCCCTTTTCTTTGAGACAGAGTCTTCCTAAATCACTAAGTTACCTAAGCTGGGCTTGAACTTAAGATCCTCCCGCCTCAGCCTCTCAGGAGCCAAGATTACAGGCACACACCACCATACTTTTCCTTGCTTAACTGCTCTATCTAGGACTTCCTGTCTACTGCTCTGGCCAAGACTTCCAGAAATCATTACTTTCATTCAATGGACTCTGTTTTTCCTCTGGACAAACATTAGAACCACAAACAGAATCTACACAATATTGCCTGATCTGACTCTGCCTGCTTCTCATCTCATGTCAGTTATTATGTTCTAGAACATTAACAGTCTTTCATACCCCAAGTTTCTAGCTGTAATGGGAATACCTGTCTCTCCACAGAGACTGTATGTGCACGGGAAGAGACTTCAGTGTCCTTTTAATCATTATGTACGCAAGTATCAAAACAGTGCCGGTGAGATAGATGAATCTCAATCTGTTGCTGTGGAATATTGTTACATAAATATGAGAGTAATTGAAAACCTGAACTAAAACTTAGATGCAAGAATTAAACAATGAAACCCTTAACATGAAGAATGAATGGGACTTGAATGATTTGATTTTTAAGACACAGAGAATCAACAGATTTCACAAAGTGGTTCTCCATGAAAACTTGAAAAGAAAAAGGTGAAACACTGGGAAGTCACTGAAATGATAAATAACTGGTGCCGGGCAATGAGGGGAGTTCAGGAAATAGCAAAATTTGTGTAAAAGATTATAGCTTCATTTTATCCATATTGCTTCGAGGCAACAGGGAAATATTAGAAAATGTTAACTGAGCACTAGAAATGTGGAATCACAGCTCAGGAAGCTAACAGCTCTTAGACAGGAAACATTCCTAGAAGTAAACAAGTTCCACACAGGTAGGTCATAAAGAAAAGCACTTGATAGGGATGGAATTTTAGAGAATGCTTTCATTTACAAAGTACCAGGAAAACATGAAGCAAATTATTAAACTGGGAAGATAGAAAACCCTGGGTTAATATAAAGGATAACAGTTTTCAGGAGAGAAGTCTCAGCATACAAAAGTCAAATGCTGCACAGGTTCAAAAGCAAGAAGGGGCTGTGTGGAGCTCAGTGGCATAGCATTTGCCTAATAAGTTTGAGGCCCTGGGTTTGAACTTTAGTAACACACAAAAAAGGAAAAAAGAAAGCAAACTGTAAAGGACTTCGGATGGATTACAGTGACGTCCATGGGGGAGAGGCATTAGGGTTCAGGAAGATAACCCTCGTGTCCTAAGGAACTAGCATAAACAAGACACTTGTTTTGTACAAAAGGGTGGTACACTGGCCTGTGTTAACTTATAAAAACTTTTTTCTTCCCAACAGCCCTGAAGCCCCTGGATCTACATGTCACATATCAGGCGGGACCCCTGATGGCCGTGGACACGACTCGGGGCATAGTGCTACACTGGCGGGCCCACAGCTGGCCCCTGCGCACTTTCCACACACCAGTGGCCTCCCTGCATTCAGTGGTCAGGGAGCTGACAGGCCTGGCGGGGGGTCCCCACACCGTGGTTGTGCTGGGCTTGGGAGCCCACTTCACCACCTTCCCCCCCTCCATCTTTGTGCGACGCCTGGCAGGGATTCGGGCAGCCGTGATGGCCCTGCTGGCCCGGGCACCCAGTACTCTTGTGGTCATCAAACTGGCCAATACTGGCTACAAGTCTGTGTATGGCAGTGACTGGCTCACCCTGCAGATGAACCGGCTCCTTCGAGCTGCCTTTTCTGATCTCCGAGTGGCCTTTATAGATGCCTGGGAAATGACCTCCAGCCTGGCCCTAACAGACAAAATTCACCCAGTAAAGCTCATTGTCAGCAATGAGGTGGACCTACTCCTCTCCTTCATCTGTCCCACCTGAGCACTCTGGATTCCCTGGGACTGTGATCACAGTGTGCCTGGGTCCTGGCCATAGAACCTGCAAAGAAGAAGGGTGGAACAACCAACTCACAGTGACAGTGAGAAGAGGAGTGACTCAAGGATTACCACCTGGCTAAATTCTGAACATTTGGGTGACCATCAATTCCTTCACCTGTCTTGTACTACATCAATAAACATGTAATTTATTATATAAAGGGGAGCATACTTTACATGAGTTCTTTTAAATTCCGTTCTTTGGAGAAGTTTTTACTGGCTAAATTGTATATGATGCAGTTATAAGGAGCAGCACAGAGATCCTTGGGCCCTTTGTTCAATTTCTCTTGATGCCATCATTTTGTAAACTGTAGTTCAGCACCATAACCACAAACAACCCACAGTCCTACTCAGATGTCCCACTTTTGCTGTACTATTGTTTTTTGTTTTGTGTGTATGTGTGTGGTGTGTGTTTTATATTACTGGAGACTGAGCCTTTGCACTCAACTCCTCCCATTCCACACTTTCTAAATTTTTCAATTTGAAACATGGTTTTGTTGTGGTTCTAATTTGTCCAGACTGGGCTGAAACTTGCAGTTCTCCTGCTCAGCCTCCCACAGTGATGGGATTACAGATGGATGCCCCCACACCCAGAAGTTTGCTTTATTTTTGTAATATTGGGGTTGAACCCTCTTATAATCCACAAACAAGGCCTTCAGAGCCCCCAAACTCTAGTTCAAAAAAAATGGGGCTGGACATGTTTTTTAAAAAAAGCATCACTGATTTATTTTATCCTGGGCCTAGCAACACAGTGCAGTCGGAGTTTACAAAAACTGTGTGTCCCCGTCAAAACTTTCCAGCCTTTTTGTAGATATCACAGTTTACAAAGTAAGGGGTTATGGGTGTGGATCAGGAAATCTGCTAAAGAAATGAGGAAGACCTTTGTTTCCCTTAGCAGAGGAAAGAGTAGTCTAGCAGTAATGAACAATCCTTTGTCAGCTTATTTTAGCACCACATCTGTTATTTGTAGAGGGCAACAATGGTTAACATATCAATTAGGTTAGGTCCCCAGGGAATTACAATTCTCTACAGAGGGGAGAATTGATTAACATATCAATTAGGTCACCCAGAGCAAAAAACTGCATATAGAACAGTATGGGGGCGTTACAGGTACTTAGGCATAACACAAACATAACCAAGCTCTTCTTGCTAGTGTACAGCAAACCCAGGGCCTTGTGTGTGCTAAACCAGTGCCAAACCACTGAGTTACATCCCCAGCTCCTATTACATTCATGAGTATATACTCAGATTTATGCAACTTTTATCATATGCACGTTTTGATTCTTTAACATCTACTTTGTAGCTTTGGAAAGGAAAGAAGACAATACCCAAGGGTTTATCCACACTGACAAGTCTAATGGGAAAGATCTAGATAAAATGAGGTTTCAAAAGGAGTATTCTCTTTGTCTAATGGTGATAGACAAATAAATTTCCAGATCAAGGGAGCACACACACACACACACACACATACAAAAATATTTGGGGGGACTATGGTACCATAATAGTTAGGGGAGGCACCTGAAAGCATCAAATACCTTTGATTTATGGAGAATCTATGGGGATTTATGGAGAAACCTATGCTTTTCTCTGGTCTTCAACAATTTTCCAGAGAAAATTTTAAGGATAAGGGGCTGCTCACTTTCAAAAATGATGAAGCACACCAGAAATAAAGCAGCAAGGGTAACAGAAAAAAAAATCAGAAGCATCAGACCTACAAAAACTTGAGGTTTTGGATCAACTAAGGTGTAATCCAAAAAGAATATCTCAAAACTATGAAATAATTATGATTAACCAGCCTTAATAAAAAACTAAAGTTGTGTGTTATTGGGATTTGAACCCAGAAATTCATACACATGTTGTAATCACATGTGACACTAAACCTGGTGGAAGGTTATCTCTTAAAGAACAATAACAGTAATCCTAACATGAAAAATATAACAATTATAATTGAAAATGAAGTGAACTTTAAAAACCAGGCGATGGTTGAAGAAAGCATTAGTGGAATGGAAGTGAGAGGAACTTGTCAGTTTCATCCTGCAGAGGGAAAAATAAACAAAAATGTGAAAGATGTTAGATGTGATTGGAGCTCAAGAATAGAGGCAGTGAGACGGGGTGTAGGTGTAGACACGGAAAAATGGAACTTTAGAGAGAAGTGGCTGCTCCAAACTTTATCAGGCCAAGGGTGTGACCACTACCTCATCACTACAGATGCTGGCTTTAGGTGTTTAAAGTCCAGTTTTGTTTTCACAGGAAAAAGAGATAGCACAATATGGACAGGAGAGCTGAAGCAGGACTGAAGTTGTCCATTGTCTCCTTTTGTTCCCTCTCCCCTCTGTGCCTCTGTACTAGGACAGATCCTTGCAGCTGGGAGGAATGCAATTGTAGCACTCTGGGAGGCTGAGGCAGAAGGATTGCAAGTTTGAGCCAGCATATACAACTTAGTGAGTTAGTGAGCCCTGTCTTAAAAAGAAAAAACTCACATGGGTTCAAGATATAGCTCAGTCAGTGCAAAGGCCTTGGATTCGATGATCAGAATTAAAAAATGTAAAGAAAGGCCTTTCTGCACCTAGACACAGAGAGGTGGTGATTTGTGGCAATCTGTGGCCTACCTGATAGGATAACTTTACTCCCAATCTTCTGGGTGTTAGGTGTGCTTCGTTCATGTCCCCTGAAATTGAGGAATGAATTCCAAAAGAGAAAGGAGATTAAGAGTAGGAAAGGTTTACTAAGGAATAGGAATTGCTCCTGAAAGACAGGAAGGGTCCTGAGTGGGTCACCACTGAAGCCCTTTGTCACAGGCAATTTACACAGCAAAGTCATCGTGTGGTACAACATGAACCCAGTGATAATGAGCCCATGGAACTGTAGTGGCTTAGCTAATATTGATCCAGGAGGAAGTGGGGCATGTAGCAAGGGTAGGTGGCTGACATCATGAACCCTGGCTTATCTATGAGTCCTAAAACAGGAACATTTTGGGGAAAGGATGGGTCCAGGTGTTCTGGTCACCCAGATGGGTGTCTGAAACCTATCTGGATTTAATGAACTGGATGATACTAATTACAGTTCTGTGTTTTCCTTAGGGAGGTTTGTGAGTCTGGCCATTGTGACTATCCTGATGCCTTATCTTCTTCAGATGTGCCTCCAGCCACAGTTGTCTCTGATGTCTTTACTTCCCACTGGCTTCCCTGAGAGCCCAGTCCCTCTCTGGCTGCATATAAACTTCTGTTGGGCACCACCAATTCAAAATGGTTAAATCGCATACTTCCCTAAGGAATGGTAAAATGGAGGCCTGGGATTATCAATACCTCCCATTTGAGAGTTCCCATGGACTCTTGGGGTAAGGTCATCTACGCCCTCTTGATTCATTCCAGGACTATACTCCGGATTGTCTGTATTAAGGATACGGTGAGAAAGAGCGAGTTTAGTAATACATGAAAGGCTGGAAATTCAGTGTTACTTGATGGGTCCTCTTCCCACACTCCAAAATAGTCACCATTTACTAGATTTATACCATAATAGGTGGGACTAGGAAAGCATTACAATTCAGTGGAAGACTCAGACTTAAGATGGCATACATAGATGGTCATATGCTAAGAAAGAATTTGTCTTGCAGTACAATCCTGAGATGACTCAAAAAGCAGAGATGATCTTATGCTAAGAATGGAAATCTCAAATTTCCCATGGGAAGTCTGAAATTGGAGGTATTGATAATCCCAGGCCTCCATTTGATCATCCCTTGTGCACAATTGGCCATTGTGAATTCGTTGTCTTCAACGAATTTCTATATAATTTAGACACCTAGAATACCTCTGAGATGGGACATTAGGACATGGCTGGAGAAGTATGCATGGCCTAATAATTACAAAGTCCCAAGACACATGCACAGAAGTGTTCCCAAACCCCTCCCTGTGGACTTCTCATTAGACCTCAAGCAGGTTTTCAGTAGGATGGCCTAGACCTGACATCAGCCTGAGGCATGGGATCCCAGCACTGCCTCTCAGGACTTGGATGCAGAAATTTTCATGGGTTTCCTCAAGAGATTTTGTACAATATAAAAGGACGTGGTTGTCAAGAAGACCTTGTATCATGGTTTTCACAATAGCCCACCTTCTACTCTCCTGGGTGTTCTTTTATCTTACTTTCTCCAGTTACTAGGCCCAAGATGGTTCTGGAGAGCCAGTTTCTCCCTCACTCTTCATTTTGCCTTTTTCAAATACACGTTGCCATTGCTTTTGCTCACTTTTTTCAATTCTTTGTTAGAGACAAGCAGAACCTGGAATCTAAATCCAGGAAAGGTGAGAAACACAAAATCCAGGAACATTTACTCTGTGAGTCACCCCAAAACATTTCCATCTCTTTGAAGCTCTCTTCAAATAAAGCCTTTCTTCCTCACCACGCCTTCCATAATGTGGGGGTTTTCTTTTGCAAGGGGAGTAGGCGCAGTGAATGTAAGGACCTGAGCCATTGGTTATATTACAGATAGCTGAATTAGGTAGGAATGTGGTAGTCAGACAGGGCTGGGCCCTCCAGAGGCCAATACAGGTGAGAACTGTGGCTGGAGGTGCATTCACTGCAGCCCAGACTTCAAGAAAACAAGGACTACTCGCTCACTCACATACTTCTCCTTGGGATGAACAGCAGTGAGTAATGAAAGGTTTTGGGCCTAGTGTAAATTATTGTACAATTATCGCAGTGGTCTAACATGGTGGAAGGCCCAAGTACAAACGCTTACCACTTCCTCTTTCATCTTCAGCCCTAATTGCAGCTCCCTTCTTGTTTGTGCACAAACAGAATTCCAATCGGTTCCTGACACTTCATCGATATCCACCCCATGTGCCACTTCCAATCAAAGGTCATATAACCCTCTACCTCTCTGTATCCAGCCCAAGGAGACTGCTCAACTGCCATAGGTTGTGTGCGCCTTTCCACATCCTCAATAAGCCTGTTCTTATCTTTTTGTATTTTTTGCTTCTGTTTTGCCAGAAAACTCTTAACATTTTGGTGCCTTGAGACTCAGACGGCAGAGCACATTAGCTCCTGGGAGTCACTCCTAATTTGAGCCCCCCTGCCTATGAACCACCTTTCCTTTCTCCAGGACCTGTTTATGTGTCACTGCTAATCCACATGCAACACCGATCCTCCTCATTCATCACAGATGAGC